TTAAGGTTTACAGTAAAATAGCTCACTTTATCCTTTCTAGAGTGACAAATGTCGTTGTTCATTAAATTCAAATCGAAAAGTTCATCAGCTGTTTGATTAGAGCAGAGTTAGGTAAACGGTTAGCTCGAAACTGCCAAAGCTGATTACTCGTACGAGTCAGTTTTAATGAGTCTACAGGTAGATTCAAACTAGATCAAGTCTACCGTGGAGCTACAAGTAGTATTGCACTACAATGAATCCACCTCATATAAATCTACTCGAGAAGTTGCGTGTCAGTGAATCGCCCTATAAAGAACCAAAGTTGTCTTCGAGATAATTTGCGAGTTGAACACTGCCATAAATGTTGCTACTGTCTGTATGAACACGTTAAGCGCCGAAAATCATCCCCCAAAATTCCCACAAAATCGAAATAATTTAATTAATGCAGTTAAAAATTATCATAGTGGATGGTATTTGATCTCTTTTGCTTTCTAAATATTCTAGTAAGATTCAGTTTGCCCGAATCTATTGCAATATAAATTAATTTTGAAAACTAATTAAAAAAATTAGCGTCACCCAAATGTGAGCGACGCGGCACTGAACGTGTTAAACGAATCTGATTAAATAGGTTTCCTTCACAGACCATGAACAATAGAAACTGCAGATTTTATGCATTTATTGAAAGATTTAAAAAAATAAAAAGTGTTGATGTATTAATTTCAACTGATTACAATTATTTAAGAGAGACAAAAAATTGCACTTGCCTCCTACGATTTGCAACTGATACAGATAATTTTTAGTTTGCATTACATATTAGAATATTTTTGATCTCGATATTCGATTCGCTAATCAGCGGAAGAGCTGTTGATGGCGAAAGCCCTGCATGGACTCGATTCGACAGTAACTATCATAGCAATTGACAAGTAAAATCATTTTCATTTCCAAGTTAAATTTACATTTATATTTTTTTTTATAAATTCCACATTTTCCAATCAATGCAGTCATAGAGCGTTTCTTCCAATAACTTTTTTCTTCTCTGCACATATTACAATAAAAGTCAGGTATCGAATATACTCCTACACGATTTTCGTAATAAATTAATTAGGTAATAGTCACATTAAGCCTCATTCATCGACACAGTTCGACAGGCATTCGTATCTCCGCTGCTCGTACAATTATTTCTCACTTTTAAAGAACTCGCGTAAATTGTTTGTTCGTAGACGACACGAGTTTTTTTACCATTCTGTCAGGTTATTTAGAGACAAATTAATTTAAATATATATTATGAAGCCTGATGAATGGTGATGAACGGTTCGAAAATTATAAGATTCCCGTAATAAATTCACTCAGCTCGCTACAAACTATCGAAACATATTGTTACACGAAAATTATCCCCACGAGTAAGCACGCAATAAGCGGTCTGAATAATTATAGTGAAAGTGCGCTTTCGAGTTTCAGCATCGGAAAGACGTGAAATTCGATCGGTGCACGGGCCAGGCGTAATTCTCGGTATCGATTAAACGCGGTCACCATCGTGGTTTAATCTTCTGCGCTCGACGTCGTATCCTCCGTCGCGGCTGGTCCTCGACGCTCGCCGTTTTTCCGACGCGAACCTCCGGCGAAAAACTGTCTGCCGGACGACGACGTCTCGGACGACGACGTCTCGGACGACGAGGGCCGCGACGGAACTTTTGTTGAATGGGCCGCGCACACACGCCGGCCCTCGGGGCTCATCGATTCTCCGGCAATTACCCACGGATCGTTGATTAATTGCACACTCGGTCGAGTACACGTATTTAGTGTCGGTAGTGAGATCGGCCGTCCTTGGCCGGCGAGTCTTCAGTGTTCTTCTCTCGTAAAGTTCGGGTGTCGTGTGACCATTCACGTGTGCCGAAACCAACGGAGTGCTGGTCCGTGGCTTTTTAACTAAACAGGGTCTGTTTAAGGAAAAAAAACGGGATGTCGCGGACGGAACCCCGATATTCTGTGAGCGAAAGGGAGCTCCGGCGACAGGACGGGGGCTGCTTACTTTCTTCTAAACACCGCCGAACGCAGTGCTGTGGCTGTAAGCAAAAACGCCGCAAGTCAGAATTTCGAAAAATTTTAATTTACGCATTAATCCTTTGCAGTCGAAGGTATTTCAATTCGAAATCCGAATCATGATTTCGGATGTACAAAAATTTAAATAGTATAATTTATTGCGATTTATGCGTATGAAATTGAGGCAATTGGCAAGTACAATGCAATTTTAACAGTTTTTCTTTTAAATATAAACGAGTCTGACGCTCTTACAATGATTTTGAAAAATAGTATACTGATTTTTAGTGGCGCATCAGAGTCGCCACTCGAGTGTAAAGGGTTAATTGAACTGTAGCACACAGGATTTACGTATTTACCAGAGAAAGAGATTATGAAAACAAATTCGATAAGCTCATGAGAATTATGCAAATTGAACACGGAGCATCAGTGATCAGAGCTTTCAGCGGCGATATTTCGAAAGTGGAAACATGTGACGTGCGGCGTTCTTCCCGACAGCCATAGAATTGACAAATAAACGAAAACAATCGCGGATAAATATTGCGCCTAAAATATGAGGAAATAAACCGTCATTCTGAGAGCTAGTTGCCGACCGTTTGTCGAGCTCAGTCTAATTTATAATTTATGATCAAAGGACGTCGACCAGAACACTAATCGTTGAAAGTTTTATTGTGGATTCGAGATTTTATACTTTTGCTAAGATTCATTTCTACGCTTTATTACCACTCTAGTTGCACGTGTTTACAATTCAAGATCTTTTTAGAGACTAAAGATACACACGCTCGCATGCTAACAATGCGATACTCGTATTGAACACTTATGCCTACATGCGATGCGTATACACATACAAATGTCAGTGACAAGTGTCGTCGATATAGTCCGATCCAGATTCACCGATTTATAATTGCATCTATATTTCTTCACACTAAGATCTTTTTTTCGTGTATGCATGTTATATATTCATCCGTTCCATCTAGGCGACGATTTAAACGCAATATTGTTGAAATTCGAGTTAAAAGAATGGGAATTTTCTCGTTAACTTGAAAATGACGCCGTTTATATACAATTATTAATCTTCGTACGCTCCTCAGTTGCATAAAATATACCCGAAATGTTACAGTACAAAAGAGGTAAATTTTACAACGCAGACAAGGACACATTAAACATAAGAGCAGAATGTATATAAAAAAGAAGACAGATGAAAGATGGTTAAGTCTGTGTTTAATTCCCATTTTAGTATTTTATCAACTGGCTTTTTTTTAAAGGAAGAAACTCAAGCAATATTTTCCTCCCTTTTCCCGCTCACTTTGTAGATGTTTAACCCTTTGCAGTATGATTCCTTTTACGTTGATTGTTCATCGTTAATAAATTCTCCGATAGAACAATCGATCTCCGATAGAACTCCGAGAGACAATCTTTGTTATTTGTATTTCTTCATTCATTTTTATTCCTGGATTTTGATAGCAGAGGAATCTGTTTCGATGCGGAGAGAAGAATTTGTTACAGCGCAAGGGGTTAACCCTTTGCACTCGAGCAGCGATTCCGAGGCGCCCCGGAAAATTGCTCCGTCATTTTTGCAAACGGCTTTTACGTTATTTAACTGGTTCGCGTTTAACACTAAATTTACGGAGCACAAAATAGCTGTTTTACATTAGTTGATAAAAGTAACAATAAGACATTTATTCTGATTTTTAATAAGTGTTATTGTAACATTTGCCGTGGGTAACATATAAATTGAATAAATAACTCATAAATGTCTCTTTACGACATGAATAATCGCAATAATTAAAAAATTAGTGACCCGTCATTTTAACGGGTTCCGTAAATCTAGTGTTAAGGAACCGTTGAAACTGCGAGTATTGTATTTTACCTATAGGCTCGATTTCTTGCGCATAAATTGCAATAAATCGTACGAATACTATAGATCGGAGAACACGGTTTGCATTTCGAATTAAAGTAGTTTCGATTGCAAAGAGTTAAACTTGAGATACACGTACGTTTACAGACATCTAATTCGCCGATCGACAACGCGGAGCGCACTCGGTAGAATACCGTACAATTGGACGAATAAGAACCGTAAAAGTGAACGCAGCGATTTGGTGCATGCTCGCGTAGCGATTGGTCCGGTTTAATTCTGCCGGTGCTTAATAAACAGGAAACGTCGGCGCACGAAACGCACGAGGCAAACAATTATGAATATTCAATATCATTAACGAGCAAAAGGAAGAAGAGGCGGAACGGTAGAAGGCTGGGTGGAAAAAGAAGCCGTTCATTATACACGGTAATTAATATTAAATCGACTATTCATCACGGCGACTGGTTCTCGATGAATAATGCGGAAACGAAGGGTGACGATTGGCGGGAAAAATCGAGCTACGCACGACTGTCGCCTCGGGCGCAAAAATAATTAGCGAACGGAGACGCGATAATGTTTTTCTTTTTTCGACCCCGCGAACCTCGCCGAATGGGAAGAACAATCGGTAATATTTGTATCGGGAATGCACACGGATGAAACAGAGACTGTTTCCCGTGACCCATTATAGTTTGCACCCTGTGTCCCGTAGCCATCATTAATAATGTTTCATCGTTCCCGCTCGCTCTCTCCCCCTTCGTCTCATTTTTTTCTGCTCGTTGGTAAATGTGAACGCTCTCGAATTAGCGCTTCGACAGCCGTTTCAAACGAGTATTAAACGCGCAGGTAATTGGAACATAATTGGAGCCACCTGTTCCGTGCAGCCCTGCAAAGGATATCAACTTCCCGAGTCTACGACGGCGTCGCTACTAGCAAAGAAGTTCGGACAATTATTTTCACGCGTGCCTCCGTACATTCTCCTAACGATCCCACGTTACGTGCAACGACGTACAAAGTTCAGCATGTTCGGGCAACAATAGATAATTAACAGACACTTCGTTCGCTTTTTTTTCTTGCGGCAGCTAATAGGATTGCTCTCGGAGAGGGGTTGCTCGGAAAATAAACACACAGATTTTGCTCGAAGAAATGTTTATTTTTAGTGTCGACGGTACTTGTTCGTTTCGTTTAACATCGTCTTCGGAGTATCGGTAATATTAAAACAGAAATTTACAGTTTCATCGTCGACGTCCACCAAGATTCTCGCGATGGCTGACCGACTCCGTGTCTCATTCCTCGTTCCTCGACCTGTGTCTACACGTTCGTCTTCACTTGCCAAACAACCCCAGCGATAAAGACGCGAGCGCACAGTCTCGGGAACATGGCGGACCGAGTCCGATGCTAGTCCGAAACTGCAGTAGAAACGGTGGCTCGTAAACAAATTAGCTGGACAAACAACGAAGCAGCCATTCAGCCATGGTACAACGCGTGCAACGTATTCACACACAGTGCATGAACATGCGCGCGCGCGCGCGCGTCGCCCGGCGACCAAATTTTTTCACCCTCGCGTCTTCGACCCTCGATCATGGTCGCTGCGTACCGCGAAATAGTGCACGCGCGTGCCAGCGTAATTTCGAAATCTCGGCGAACGTCGCGCCGTCAAAGCCGACAAGAAAAACGCATGCATGAGAAACAATGGCAACAAGGGCCGGCGAGGTTGTTTAGAGGAACAAGTACATGGAGAAAGGCGCATCGGGTGAACGCGGAGGAAAGGGAGACAGGGATGGAGGAAAAAGAGGTGGAAGAAGAAGAGCGAAATAAAGGGCCGAAGTGCAACACACGTTCGTCCATACGAGATTCTTCCGTGCACTCCGCCGCAGCGTACACGCGCGCAGTCGTGCACGCGCAAGTACACGCACACGCGCACGCACAGGCAATCGCACACGCAAACACGCACGCACGTAGCCACGTATCCGACACACGTGAACGGAACGCACAATCGCACACGCATACGTACGGATCGCACAATCACACGCGCATACGTACGGATCGTCGACTTACCTCTTGGCGCAGAAATTCGAGCGGCCAGCCGAACGAAGGCAGAGAAAAGAGGCAGGCGGATGACGACGACGACGGCCACGACGGCGTTGCGTGCGAGAGTGGAGTCGCGACGCCGGGCGTCGGCGTGCGTCGAACGGGCACCGCGCCGCGAAAACAATGGCGTCCCGTCGCGCGGTCCAACGGTAAAGGGAGCCGCCTCCGCGAGGCTCCGCCCATCGGGACCGTTCCGGCCTGTTCTTGGTCGTCTCGGAGCGTTGTGCCGAGGCGCGAACGCCGCTTTAACAGTTACGCCGGTGCGCGCTGTCACTGTCGTTCCTGCACCACTGCCGCCGCTGCCCCCACTCCACGCCGGCGGGTTCGACGCGGAACGAGCAGAGGGAATCCGACCACACCGGTCGTGGTGCCGTGGCTCCACCCAGATGCACGCTTAACACGGAAGTCCGGACGTTGGTGGGGGGGCCCGGGTAGGGGGGACGTAGCTCGTCGCTCTCGAAGCCAGCTCGTCGTCCGACGAATTTGCCCGGAGGGGCTACACGGCTGCCTTCGACGGGCTAGCTGGGCCGTGCGACGGAAAGGGACAGCTTAGCGAGAGCAGTCATAGGCGGAGGAAGAGAGAGGGGGATAGAGAGAGAAATAAAGAAAGACGGAGCGTGGGGACCGGCCCGATAGAGGGAGATCGTATACAAGGGACGGTAGTAAGGGGTGGGGGTGACGAAATCGTGCGGCAGGGATCTTCGCATGAAGGAAGGCAGACTCTGGTGGTCAATCGGGCGCCGCGCACCGCAGCAGTGACGCGTCACTGCACCCCTGTTTTCGAGTTGCACGTGTTTCTTTCCTCTTGACCGACGCTCTCTCACGTTCGATTCCTCCTTCTCTCGTTTCCTTGGTCAGCTCGACGCGATTACCACCGCTGTACACCGAATAAGCGTGACGCCCGACCGGAAAAACACCGTTCCCCCCCGTTCTTCGTTGATGGCAAAAGGTGTCGTTTCGTTACCGCGACACCTTCTTCGTTCATTCACGTTACGCGGACGCCAACCGTCAGTCCATCGGAGGGCCTGTACAACCGCATACACGCCGCCGCTTGTGCCCGATATCTGGCCGGCCCTCCTCCGGATCATCGTAGATCCGAAAACCGACGACGCTCCAGTGTGAATTCCGTGACGAGCACGCGTCGCTCACGTTAAACTGTGCATTCTCAGTGATATCAGTGAGACTCGTTCGCCGGAGATACCCGGTTCCGATCGTCTTGCTCCCGGCAAGTAACCGGCTACCGCCGAGAGAGGATCGTTAACCAGCAACCGCTTGGCCGCGCCGAGCTGCAAAAGTGCTGTGAACGTCGCGCGGAAGACACGCAGCTGCGGATTGTGCTTTTAGCTGGTGATTGGACCCGGCCTGACCACGGCCATTCTCGACACGGTACGTTCTTTTTCAATCTCCAATCGGACCGAAAATCACGCCCCAGTGGATGCAAGTTTCGATCGTTCCGTTTAGGCGAGAAAGGATTAGGTGTCTACGTATCGTCTCAGTGATTCGAATCCGCGCCCTTTTCGCGCTCGTTCGTAAGGGTACGTTGCACAGTATACGCTGAGCACGAGTCACGCGTTTCGTACCTACACATATTTGTAAGAATCGAGATGCTCGGAACGCGCGCGCGTACGCCGTTGTTTGCTTGCCGGCGCGTAGATAGTGCAATCGGATATCAATTATCGGAAGTGTAGTTCCGTAAGTATGCGGAACGGTCGGTTCCGCCGGCAACAGATCGCGATTTTGACGTACTAGACCCACGTAGAATTTTGTCTTTGGTGTCTCATTTTAGTGTTGTTACATTCTATGGTAACGCGAGGACTAAATCATTCGCCAATCAGAAACGAATTTCACTAGAATTGTGCGTTGAAAATTACCGTCGCGTCGGCTGGTCGAGAGCTCGAGCGCTTATTCGCGCTGTCATAACGAAAGTACGTTCTGTTTTCACGTATTATCCGTTTTACTGTATACGTTTTGTTACAATTTCGTGGCTCGGAGAGTGACTCCGACGCGTTCGCCATTTCTAGCTTGTAACGCCTTTGTGTGCTCCGTGTTTGAATTTCGGTAATCAGACTCGCTCTAGCAAAACACGGTGGAGCCCTTCTCGAATTAATGATAAAAAAAACGAAGAAAATTTAATGTAGAGAGGCTGCGAAAAGGATAGAATTTTAAGAAAAAAAAGAAGAGAGAAAGGTAAATTCCTCGAGCAAAATAATTTCACGTAAAGTGTACTCGCGCCGTTGTATCATTCCCTCGTTTCTCGTTGAATCGAATCACATTTTTTCCCGTTACGGGTCAGAGTGCCGTCGGCCGCGGGAGACTGTAATGAACCCGGCTAGACGTAATAAGTGGAAAGCCCGGGTAGCTCGACGCTTAGTGACAAATTGTTGCTTCCACAATGGCGCTGTTGACGCTCCAATATCTCATTGTGATCGCGAAAAAAAAAACGCTGTCAGTGGAAAGTGAATTGCATCGGATTTATTTCGCGGTGGGACGCGATTAAATAACAGAGGAGCCCCGGTACTGTGCCAAAAAATTCACCGAGTGTCCGAGGTATTGTACGTTCCACGAACGAGACGAGGTATTCTTTTCGAACAGTTTACCGAAAAATTGGCACGCTCCGGCACGCCGCATACAGAAGATGATTCCTGTCGGGACTTTCGAACGATCTCAAACTTGCAAACCGAACCGTTCTCCGTCGGTAACGCAGTTCACGAGATGCGGCGGCTTTTTGTTAAATTGCAAATGAGACAATAGGTCGTGTGAGCCCGACGAAAACAACGTTTTCCTTGCTCGCCTCTCTGTCGTTTTTAACCGGAACATGAAAATCGAATGGATCGGTTCTGGGAAATCTACGGAGGGGCTTCTACATTCCCCCCCTGTTCCGGGCTGATTGGGCTTCCGTCGGCGATATTTTCATCTCATTATACTTTCAACATTTCGGAACGGAGGCTGAGCGAGTATATTTCGACCGAATGAAACAAATTTCTCCTTTATGAATAATTTATACGCACCGTCGGCCGAATTAGGGATCGGGAGAGCCGAGGCCGAGGTACGGCGGGTCACGTACGCGAACACCTGTCCGCTTTTATTATTTTTACACGGACAGAGAGGAAAAGAAACATCGCGCTCATTGAAAGTGATACAATCTCGGAAAATAACAGATGTCCCCTCGTTGCCCGAGTGCTCGGCAAAGAAAGCCTCCGTGAGTACCTCGGGAGATTTCACGGTAAGCCCTTTGTTGTACTTGAACCGCTCGAGGGCGACGAGACGACCGGCGGTCCTCGTACAGAAAATTCACCGATTCTCGAATTATTTACTAATTCCGTGCACCTTTCCCGTCGTTCTTTTCCGTTGAATTACGACGACGAAAACGGAAATTAATCCTCCGGCTCGGCTGGCATCGCGAGCCGCCGCCTGGCCGAACAAAAAAAATCCCGCGTTCAGCTCGCGGGCATTCGCTAAAGACGCCGAGATCGAGATTACGAGATCGTTCCGCGCGTGTTTAGTGTTGCACTCTTGTACTCGGACGCGTCGAATTAACTACCGACATAGATATTGTTTAGTCTAACGAGTTGTAGCGGAATCGAGATCCTATCGCAACGGCTGTCGGCATACAAAATCTCGCAGGCTCGATCTTCGTTACCATTCTCCAGCTCAACGGTTGAGAATCATGGTACAAATGCCGTGATTTCGTCAGAAAGAATAATACCTCTTGCGTCTCGAGTTGTTTTCGTTGGTCGAAACTAATTTGACGATTTTCACGATCGGCGTTCTTTAACGCTGTTTCTACCGAAGCTGTCGGAAGACAATTTTTCATAATTTTTATTTAATATTATTTTTACGAAAGGGGTCAAGGGTCATCTTTTAATCATTTCTAAGAAAAATTATTTTCCATGTTCTATATAATCGTTAGACTACGGATTTTATGCATTAATGACGAAAACGAGCAAGTCATATTTCAAACTGAAAAGATTAAATGAATTTAAGAATATCAGCGTACTATTTTCTACCGATTAAGATTATTAAAAGAAGAATAACATTTATTTGCATTAAAAGAAGAATCAAATTTATTTGCATCGTCCATTTCGTACAATCGCGACGGACAATTTTTATTTGTCATAAAGATCCGCGGTCTAATAATCGCTTCTTTCGCTGTAGTCATTGTAAAATTAATTCGATAAATTGCATAATTCAAAATATTTGTAAAAATGGTATTAAAAAATTGGACGCGAGCTTCGTATTCGTGCAACGAAGACTGTCATTTCCGATTAGGAAACGCTGCTCTTAGTCGATCGCCAACGACAACGCAGAATTTGCTACATCCGTTTCACACGAGCTAGTAAAAATTGTATAAATGAAGAAACTCGCTGCAAGTGTAAAGAGGATCTTTATCGCGAATTAATAATTTATCTTTCATCGTGGAGCTTCTCGACCAAGACTCTGGTTGCATCTCTCGGCGCACAAAACGGTGTTCGACAATGGAAATATTTGTTAGCTCGGTATGAAGGAGATCGCGACGGAACGAGTAACGAGGCGATATTGTAAATGCGACGACAAATGGTGGACAAATTGGTAACGATTCAGCTATGTTGCCGGGACACCGTCCAAAGGATCCTTCTCCTTTTCAACAAAATTCCTCGAGACGATCCGACGTTCTTTGTCGCGCAGAGATGGGTTTCGCATGCTCTCGTCGAGAGATCGGCGTACAACTCTCCGTTCACTTCCGCAATCTGCATTCGCCGGACTTTAAATAGTGGAATAGCAATTTCGTCTTTATTTACCGTGCCACCTCGTCCGGAAATCGTCAGGCATTTGGTTAATGCACAAAAATCCCAGCGTCTTTAATGATCCCTCTTCGGCAGGTTCTTTGCGCGGCCGCCATTAACGAGGCCGCGGGATCGCAAGATTTCTCGTGGAAACGCTTTTGTCGAAAGGAAAAGTGTTCCCGCGTACCCGCTAATTGCAAATCGACCGTCGAGAATGTCGTTACACTGTCTGCCGTCGCTTTGAGGCCGCCTCGTTTATTTTTTTCTCTCCTCCCTTTTCAAATGTGTACCCCCTTCCCGGCCGTCGACGAAACGGTGCAGCCACGTAATTTTTCGTGCAAAACGCCACCGGAACGCGATATTAAGTAATTTAATGCGTGACAGCTTCTTCTAACCTCGCCGCAGACGACGAAGGAGCCGAGTAATTAGTAAACTTCGCGCGGGTTCGTTTAATTTCTACGAGGAAGTTTGAACTTCCCGCCTGTTTCACCCGCCTGGTCGCCACTGGCCCCGGTATAATGCATTTTATTCGATTTTCGATTGATTTCATCTGCGCATTAAATCTCGTAGCACATTTATTCTCCTTTAACCGAGTTTTGGATCGAACAAATTCGCGCAGAAAAGTTCGAACGGCGTGCACACGGTTCGCCGAAATCTAGAACGACGCGAAATTTTCTACGACCCTTCCGACGAAACGTCCATTATTTGTAATATTTTTTCCTCGAGGTCGTTCCAGTTGTCAACGGCAGGTAACGGATCGGGAAGTAATAAACTCGAGACGGAAGGTTCGTGTTACGTCGCATTCCTCGCCACCTTAATAAGCGTTTCTATTAGAGCCGCATTACGTTAAGTGGTCGCGCGCGTTATTTTTTTTTTAGCGCGGATTCAAAGCGATCAGCGGGATAGTAGCCCGTAATCAGTCGGCTCGGTAACACAGCTTGCACATTTTGATCGACTCGAATCGTTTATGGGGTTCTCTCCTTTCTTTGTCCGCCCCCGCCCCCACCCCTCGGTCCCCCGTGTTCGCGACGTTACCCACGACCACGATGAAAGGAGCTAATGATCTACGAACCGGGCCGAATGATAATTAACACTCGTCGTAACTGCGGCGTGATTAACTATGACGAACGAAAGCGACGGTGGAATGCGCGTAGGTGTACCGGCGCGGCGCTGCTGCCGCTGTTGTGAACTCGCCTTCGGTGGTATCTCGATCGCCAAAGAGGGTATTACTGTCGATGTAAACACCAATCTGACCACAAGAATGCCGGCCACGGGAGTTTAAATTACACGGCTGTTCGGGAAAGCTACTTGCCCGGACCGGAACGAACAATTTCGCGACGCTCGATCCCCGAACGTGTGCGCTTTTCGAAATCGTCGTCTTCGATATTCGTCCCCAACAATCTCGAGGTGCGATCCTTCCGAAATAAATGGCCCGGCTTCATTAACGCTAGGTTTACGGGGCACTGAAGACAACTATTTTACGTTACTTCATACAGTAACTGTATATATGGTGATACTTTATACAATAATATTTTATACAGTTGCATTATTAATATAATATTTAATATATATTATAGATATATATATTATAGATATATATATTATAAATATATATTATAGAAT